AGACTCTGAGTATCTGGTTCTTAATGGTGAAGAGGATTCTAAAACCTTTCTTGCAGTGATATGGGAAAGATTAAATAAGATAGCATATGGAATAGGCCTGGCACCTAAGTGTTCAATATAGATTTGTGCTTCCATTTGGCCCAGATCTACAGACATCTAAGACACGAGGGTTCTGATATTTATGAACAGTATGGGCCAGAGGTAAGAAGCTGGCCAAGTGCACTGTTAAGGTGTCTTCGGAAGGGGAAAGTTAGCATCAAAGTAATTGCTTCATTAAAGAAATGACAGAGATCCCATTTGTAGTTTTCTCATCCTGCCAATTTTCTAGCACTAGAGTGTTTATAGAATTGTTGGTTGAATGAAGCTCTATATGCAAAATTGATTCTTGGCAAGTTTATAACTGTTGCTTATTATTCTATTCAGGTTTGCTGTAAAATTATGAGTGCCAACCGCATAAAATCTGGCCCACATTATCATTTTTCCCCTCTTTAACTCCAAGGCTTAAATTAGGTATTATAATATATTAAAATCAAATACGGTCTAAGCAATGGGACAAAATCAGGCCAAGAACACACATGGAGTGATCGAGTTTAGGTACGGTTTGAAAGAAGATGAGAGGAGGAGCGGAAGCTTGTTATCTACTGTAGACCCTGGACCATCACCGTCATCACAGCCCTTACCAGCCAGTGTCCTAATGGCCTGCTTACCTAGTCCACCTGCTGTGCAGGGAGTTCTGGGAGGGCAGGGACCGTGAATTCATCTCAGAATTCTTGGGGCTGCACCAAAGTTGTCTACACAGTTTTGAAATGCTATGAATAAATCTCATACCCATTAGAATTAGTTTTTGCTGCATGTGAGAGAAAACCCAAAATTAACTGCTACTGAAACAAGATAGAAGCGTCTCGCTTATGCAAAAGAAATCTAAAGTTAAGCTATCCCCTGTTGGCAACTCCACAGTTGTCAGAAACACGGCCTACTGTATTTTTATTCCTTCATCTCTAGTGCGTGCTTCCCGTTTGCAAGGTTGCCTCGTAGTCAAGATGGTTGCTAGGGCTCCGACTTTACAGTTTCCCAGACAGTAGGAAGGAATAATGGCAGAGAATAAAGCATGAGATGTGTGTCTTCCAGCCTTGTTAGTTCCACTGATGCAGACTGCAGAAGTCCCACACAACACTTCTGTTTGTGGGTGTAATTTCGTTTTCCTACCTGCGAGAGCAGCTGGGAAAGGTAGACTCTTTTTTTTTTTTTTTTTTTTTGAGACGGAGTTTCGCTCTTGTTACCCAGGCTGGAGTGCAATGGCGCGATCTCGGCTCACCGCAACCTCCGCCTCCTGGGTTCAGGCAATTCTCCTGCCTCAACCTCCTGAGTAGCTGGGATTACAGGCACGTGCCACCATGCCCAGCTAATTTTTGTATTTTTAGTAGAGACGGGGTTTCACCATGTTCACCAGGATTGTCTTGATCTCTTCACCTCATGATCCACCCACCTCGGCCTCCCAAAGTGCTGGGATTACAGGCATGAGCCACGTGCCCGGCAATATAGACTTTTATGTTATACATTGCTTCCCCAAAGTCAGGGTTCTGCTAACAAGAAAGAGGGAAGACCGGATACCTGGTGTCTACCAGCAGCCATGACCAATACCTTCCTTCAGCATCGCCATCTGTCTAGTGTGCCTGGTGGCCCAGAATCTGAAGTCGCAGAAATTCTGGGATGATGTGTAGAATTCAATATATATGTGTTAACAGATGATCAAATTCTTAGTTCCCTTTCTACCATCCCAGATGTTCCTGTTTAGTCTCTGCTGATTCGTCCTCACTTCTCAGACTTACAAATATCGGAGTGCCCAGGAAGCGGGCATAGACAGATAAGAAGACCTATTCCCAGCCGGACACGGTGGCTCATGCCTGCAATCCTAGCACTTTGGGAAGCCAAGGCAGGCAGGTTGCCTGAGCTCAGTAGTTCGAGACCACCCCGTGCAACATGGTGAAACTCCGTCTCTACTGAAGATACAAAAGTTAGCTGGGTGTGGTGGTTTACGCCTGTAATCCCAGCTACTTGGGAGGCTGAGGCAGGAGAATCATTGAAACTGGGAGGTGGAGGTGCCAGTGAACTGAGATTGTGCCACTGTACTCCAGCCTGGGTGACAGAGGGAGACTCCGTCTCAGAAAAAGAAAAAAAAAGACCTATTCCCTTCCCTACTTACACCATCTAAGTGATTTCATCCAGTCCCAGGCCTTACATTCATATAAACACTGGCGACTGCCAACTCTATGCTCCCACCCTGCCTTCTCCATGAGCTCTAAGCCCATGGGTGCAGCTGATTACTGGGTATCTCTGTGTGCATGTCTAGGGCACCTTACCCTCAACCTGCCTCCACTAGCTCCTTGCCCCCATCTCAGGAAAGGACAGCTCGGTTTTTCTTTTGTAAAATTAAAAAGTCTTGGCATCATTCTCTCCTACCCCATGTCCAATGCGTCAGAAAATCCCTGTTGAGTCTGAGTACTTACTACTTCCACTGCCACCCCCAGGCCTGTCTAGAGACACTGTCATTGTCTCTCCCCTGTGACATGGTGGCAGCCTCTAGATCATCTCGCTCTTCCACCCTGCCCCCATAGAATCTGTTCTCAACACAGCAACCAGAGGGATCCTTTTATAAGATAGTCTCATTATTTCTGTCTGCCCCTAGAAATCCACCAGTACCTCTCACCTCACTCAGAATGAAGGCCAAAGTCCTACCACTGGCCCACAGACCTGCCATGGTCTGGCCTGGGCCACCCTCACACATCACCTCCCACCTCCCTGTTCCTGACCTGACGTGCTCTGCTCCAGACCAATGGATCCCTTCAAGACCTCAGACAAGACAAGCCCACTCCCACTCAAGGCCTCGCCCCTGTTGCTCTATAGGATTGCTCTCCCTCAGACAGCCATGGCCACAAGGTTTCCTCCCCGGCCTCCTTCTGGTTTCTGCTCACCTGTCACCTTGCCCCTGAGGCCTTCCTAACCACATTGCCCACTCCTGGCAGTCTCTAGCTCTGGTCCATATCTCCAAGGCACTTACTTCCACCTGAAAGTATATACACTTACACAGAGATTGAGAGAGAGAGAGAGAGAGAGAGGCAGCTCCTGGCAGGGAGGAGCTGGCCTACATGCACAGCTCAGCCTTGGTGCTCTCCTGCTGAACATAAACAATGTCACAGACCATCAGCATCAGAAAAGGGCACTATGTGACCGTGAGTGCTCCAGACAAACAAGACCACTCCACCATCATATCCGAACACAGACAAAGCACCAACATTGCCCAAGCCCCAAAGTGCCAAACATCCTCCTCTCCCAGCTGCCATGGATGACTACTGCTTCCTGGTTAATTCTAGTCTGCTGTCTTTTTGCATAGGACACCCTATCCCAGACTTATCCCTGCTTCCTGAGGGCAGCTGATGCAGAGCAAATTCCTATTTCCTTGGGACTTCGGAGAGGTCTGAAGCCACCCAACCAAAGCTTAAATGCTATTATAGTTTCTTCCAAACGCACTTAAACTAAGATTCCCCATGCTTACCCCGTCAAGTGTGGTCTCTCTCATTACAACAATGAGTTCGAATTTTCAACTACAGGTGTTTCTGATGGAGGACATTGACAATAAAATGCACAGACACAAATCGTATTTGGGGGAGTGGGATTTGATTGGCTGTCTCCTCTTCCAAAATTGAAATCTGATGAGAGCAGGGCCTCATCTCCAGACCTAGAAGCTCTCCGTAAATAGTTACCCAGTGAATTCAGAATGAACTAAATGTAGCTTCAGAGATAGTGTCCACCACCATCAAATGAGGAGATTCTGATGTTGGTGTTGGATACATTCAATCAAGTCTTCGATTTTTAATCTAGCGCCCCAAAGATGGAACCCACTCAGGACAAGCAGTGGCAAAAAGTAGCTTTGTCAGCTTTAGTTCCAAAGGGAGGAGTTGGGTGTCAGTGGTTGCTGTCCTGGAGGAGCAGCAAGGATTAAGGTCACTGGTAAGTCATGGATGGCCCTGGGCATACTAAAGGAGCAGGAGGGCTGAGTCTAGCAGGGACAGCAGCTGCCAGAGGTGGGAGGGTGTCCTGTTTTCACCTGGTGGCAGTGCGGGGACTGCCTGAGGTAGAAGCTATCCGACTCCCAGGTTCAAGTGATTCTCCTGCCTCAGCCTCCTGAGATTACAGGTACATGCCACCATGCCCAGTTAATTTTTGTATTTTTAGTAGAAATGGGGTCTCACCACTTTGGCCAGGCTGATCTCAAACTCCCGACCTCAGGTGATCTGCCCACCTTGGCCTCCCAAATTGCTGGGATTACAGGCATGAACCACGCCACCTGGCTGTCATAATTTTCTCAGTTATGATTTTTGCAAAGGTGATTTCATGCTCATGCAGCAGTGTGCTACAGTGGCACAGAAAGATGAAAGAGATGACCAGTCTGGTCTATGGGCCAACAGACATGTGCAGAATGGGGGACCCTTAGGTGTCCAAGTCCTGGCCAGAGATGCCAGTGGTGGGGGAGCTACCAAAAGGGTGGGGAAGGGACAGATGCAGTGGCTCACACCTGTAATGCCAGCACTTTCAGAGGCTGAGGCAGATGAATCACCTGAGGTCAGGAGTTCGAGACCAACTTGACCGGCATGGTGAAAACCCATTTCTACTAAAAATACAAAAATTAGCGGGACCTGGTGGCATGTACCTGTAATCTCAGCTATTCAGGAGACTAAGACAGGAGAATCACTTGAACCCAGGAGGCAGAGATTGCAGTGAACCAAGAGAGTGCCAGTGCACTCCAGCCTGGGCAACAAAGCAAGACTCCATCTCAAAATAAATAAATAAATAAAATAATTTAAAACCACAAAAAGGCAGGAAGGAGCTGCAGGGGGAAAGATAAGTGGAATCAGAATAAATGCCGCCATTTAGAAACACTGGCCCAGCCTGTCCCACTCCTTTCCTTCCCAGAAACTAGGAGGCAAACACAGTAGGGAACAATGGTTAAAAAACAAGAATTGAAGATGCAAAGCAGTGTGTATAGTGTGCTAACTTTTGGCCCCCAAGTGGAAGAATTAAGAAAGCACTCTTGGAAACTCATGTGTGTGAAGGACGATCCCCTGGAGGACATTGAGAAAGAAGCCCAGCAGCCTCATTTACATGGGGAGGAGCGATGCCGGGCAGAGGTGGACTCCGGGATACCTTGTTAGTTAGTTTCATCGCTGAGCCATGGGAATGTATTGTTTATTCAAAAAATAATTCAAAAACCAAGCTGGAAGCTCAAAAAATCTGTTAAAATTCTATGTACAAATTAGAAGAAGAGGAAGGATAGAGGTGACTTTTACTTCATCCATACGGTCTGGAGTTTTAGAAAAATGTGTTCAGGATTCCTTTGTATAATCAAAAAATAATATTCGGAGGGAAGGAAGAAAGGAAGAGAGGGAGGGAGAGAGGGAGAGAGGGAGAGAGGGAGAGAGGAAAGAAATGGCATTTGGAGAAAGCCAGAACCTGAGTTTGCATCCTGGCTCTGCCGCCTACATGGGCAGACGATTTTATTTCTCTAGGTCCCAGTTTTCCCATCAGTAAAAGGAGAATAATAATAATTCCTACTTCATAAGGTTCTGAAAAGGTTAAATTAAAAAAAATCATTCAGTGTAAGGCCAGGTATGGTGGCTCACACCTGTAATCCCAGAACTTTGGGAGGCTGAGTCAGGTGGATCAGCTGAGGTCAGGAGTTCGAGACCAGCATGACCAACATGGTGAAACCCCGTCTCTACTAAAAATACAAATATTACCTGGATGTGGTGGCATGTGCCTGTAATCCCAGCTGCTTGGGAAGCTGAGGCAGGAGAATCACTTGAACCTGGGAGGCAGGGGTTGCAGTGAGCTGAGACCACACCATTGCACTCCAGCCTGAGCAACAAGAGTGAAACTCTGCCTCAATAACAACAACAACAACAACAACAACAAAATCTATGTAGAGCACTTATGCCAGAGCCTGGGACTTAATAAACCCTAGAAGCATCATAGCTGTGAGGACAGCTGGATGTTTGTAAGTTGCCAAGGAGTGTCCCTCAGTTACTTTTCCTACGTGCTCTATTAATTGTAATTATTCACTGTGAATGTTACATTATTTTCAGCATCATCTCAGATAACTCCCAAGCTGGAGGGGTCGGAGCTCTGTGCCTCTGATTTGCCACCCCTGAACATCTTACTGCATCAGGAGTCTAATCCTTGCTAGTTGTTGATGGCAGAGAGGGTGGCCTCCACCCCTTGGGGCCCCTCCCTGGCATCCATGGAAAGCTGAGGGGATGTAGCCAGGACAGGACTGGAAGATTCCCGGGCTTGGTTCCAGAAAAGCTCCTCCAGAAAAATAGACAGTGAGCCCTGTGGAATTTGGTTCCATGTTCAAATGAGTCCATGCATGGCCAATTAGGGATGTTATCTAGGGGATGTTTAAAGATCAAAGACTTTGTTCATTAATGTGTTGATTTCAAAATGTCTATCAAGCATGCAACATGTTCTAGGCACAATGCTGGAAGTTGAATCGATCTAGAGAGAGAGGGGATACAAAGGTGAATAAATCCTAGTCCTTGTCTTTAAAAAGAGCACAAACGATGACCAATGTTGCAAAAAGAAAAAAACCGTAAAAGGAAACAAAGAATGCCATAGTAAAATAAAATGGCACGTCAGAGTTGGAGAAGGAAAGATGAGTTTTGGAGGTAACATTTTGCACTAGGTCTTGCAGGGTGGGTAAAATTCAAAAAGGGTAGAAAAGCATCTCAAGGTGTAAATGAAGACCTGGCATGGAAGGTTACAGGGACAGATTCAAGGAAAGAAAAGGAGCCCGGGGAGGAGTATGGAGTTTAAGTGGGAGCCCTGGGGGAGGGAAGATGAAAAGTGTAAAAGTAAACTGACTTCTGGCTAGCCATCCTGCCAATTGTCCTGCTACCAATCCTCCCCAGGCCCATTATACACTGAAAATTCACCACATGAAAAACAAGGCATATGAGTAAATTAACTGTTACTGTTTATTCACACAAAGGATTGCCCACACACCAGTGAAAAGTAATCAGCTGTCTTTATGTGCCAACATGGGCACATCTCGAAGACATTGAGTCGAGTGAGAAAAGCAATTTGCAAATGGATACATACAGTACAATCATGTTTGTGTACATTATAACATCTTTCAAATAATGCTGTAAAGTATATACTATTTATAGATAATTGCATATATTGTATAAATATAAAAACACCATGTATGCATATGTACTCAGTATACAACAGTTTAACAAAATATTTTGAGAACTTCAGTAAGACTGAAGATTTTCTGGGAAAATACAGGTTATTGAAACTACCTCAAAGACATGTAGAAAACACAAATAATCACTCAAGCCCAGGTGTTTGAGACCAGCCTGGGCAACATGGCAAAACTCCATCTTTAAAAAAAATACAAAAATTAGCCAGGTGTGGTGGCAGGCATATATAGTTCCAGCTACTTAGAAGGATGAGGTGGGAGGATTGCATGAGGCAGAGGTTGCAGTGAGCCTAGATTGGACCACTGCACTCCAGCCTGGGCAACAGAGCAAACAGAGCAGGACCCTGTCTAAAAAAAAAAAAAAAAAAAAAAAAAGCATATTCCTGAGCCTAGAAAAAAGAAAGGAAAGAAAGAAAGAAAAGGAAGGAAGGAAAAGAAAGGAGGGAAGGAAGGAAGGAGAGAGAGAGAGAGAGAACACGAACAATTCAATGACAATAAAAACGATTAATCTATCAGGACGACATGGTGATTCTAAATGCGAATGCACCAAAAAACAGAGCCTCAAAGTACATGAAGTAAATAGTAAGTAGATAGATGCACAATCAGAGCTGGGAATTTTAACACCCTCCACTCAGTAACTGATAGTACTAATAGAAAATCAGAGAGGAGGCTGGGTGCGGTGGCTTATGCCTGTAATCCCAACACTTAGGGAGGCTGAGGTGGGCAGATCACCGGAGGTTGGAAGTTCAAGACCAGCCTGACCAACATGGAGAAGCCCTGTCTCTACTAAAAATACAAAATTAGCTGGGCATGGTGGCAGCATGCCTGTAATCCCAGCTACTTGAGAGACTGTGGCAGGAGAATCGCTCAAACTCGGGAGGTGGAAGTTTCGGTGAGCTGTTATAATGCAATTGCACTCCAGCCTGGACAACAAGAGCAAAACTCCATCTCAAAAGAAAGAAAGAAAATCAGAGAGGATATAGATCTGAAGACTGCAATCAACCAACAGGCTCTAATTGACATTTATCAAACTCTCCTTCCAACAACAGAATATACATTTTCCTCCCAGGTGCGCATGAAGCATTCACCAAGATGGATCATATCTTGGACCATAAACCAAACTTCAACAAATGAACAAAGAAAAAGAAATTATATGAAACATGTTCTCTAACCATAATGGAATCAGATTAGAAAACAATTACAGAAAAACAAACAGAAAATCTTAAACATGAAGGAATTAAACACCCTTCTAAATAATCTATGGATTAGAAAAGAAGTCTCAAAGGTAGAAATAATTAGCAAATACATACACAATCTCAATGAGATGGCTTTCCTGACAATATAATATCGAAAGCCACAGAAGTCCAATTCTCTGTAAAATTGTAGGTAGAAAAGTCAAGTTCTTGATAAGATGCAGTTTGTTTCAATACTGAAAAGAGGACTGATTTGGTGTGTACCAGCTGGCAAATGTCCCATACTTTCTCATTTGAGAAGATTGGACTTCCAGGAAACCTACACATGGCTAAGCTGACAGCGTTCCTACACCTTCTCCTTCCAATATAATTTCTTTCTAACTTATCTCCAAGATTGGCATGACATTGTTGAGTTGTTTTCATATGTACGCCTCTGCCTCCTGGGATCAGGCAATTCTCCTGTCTCAGCCTCCTGAGTAGCTGGGATTACAGGCATGTGCCACCATGCCCAGCTAATTTGTTGTATTTTTAGTAGAGACGGGGTTTCACCATGTTGACCAGGATGGTCTTGATCTCTTGACCTCGTGATCCACCCGCCTCGGCCTCCCAAAGTGCTGGGATTATAGGCATGAGCCACCGCGCCCAGCCTTTTTTTTTTTTTTAATCTAATGAAAAATTCCAAGTCACAGCCATGACACTGACCCATCAAAAGATCCTTTCATGTTTTGTTTTGTGTTAAATGCTCTTTGTGCTTTTCTTTTGTTAGAGGTGGATGGAGTTGCCCCTTTCTGAGATCTGGGGGTTCATGAATAAGGGAGCCCTTGCTGTCCCTTGCCCCACTCTCAGCGGGGTAAGTGAAAGCAGTCTTTATTCTCCCTTCCCCAAGCAGCAACCGCAGAGCCCAGCACCAGAGGACACAAGGACACCGGCTGTACCCCAAACCTGTGCACAGGGCACACTCGACAGAGAAGGGCATTTCCATCACCCAAGAGTGTTCACCAGCAGCACCCCCAACCCTATTCCAAGGACCCCTTTTAGTACACCATTAAGTTGTCAGAAAAAGAACACCACAGTCTCTTTCAGGGGGAAAAACAAAAATCCTGCCTGTGTACCAATTGTCCCTGGACCTCAGGCTGTGATTATTTTGTGGCCGTCATGCTTTTCATGGCCTGGGGTCCTCCCGCTTCTACCTGGGGGTTTCTGAAAAGTGAAGAATTCTGTCCCTGGGCTTGGCACCCACTGGCGATGCCGCCACCTTAAGCCACGCTAGATTGTCCTCTGCTCCTCTCACAGGTCAGCCCTCCCCAGGGACTCAGAGCTGCCATCCCTGGAGCTATCACCTAGTCTCCTATTTTTCCCCAAGGTGCTACTTGCATCCTTTAAAAGTGCAGTTCACAGTGAGCATCAGGGACCTCCCATGCACTTTTACCCACTACATTGGCAGCGTTTGAGGAAGTGAGTTTTAATAACACAGGTGGGGATACAGACATTCTCGTGCATTGCTGGGGGAATGCCAATCAATACAGATTTTTTTGGAGGTAAAAATCTGAGATTGGACTTTTTTTAAAATTTGTCCTACCTTCTGACCCAGAAATTCTGCTTCTAAAAATGTATTCTAACAAAATGAAGTATGTGTGCAAAGACCTAGCTAGAAGGCCATTCATCATAGCCTTATGTATAATAGCAAAATAAAACAGTAACATCCAAATATTCAAGATGGAAAGCTATTTTAATAAATATTGGAGAGGGAGACTGTGTCTCAAAAAATAAATAAATATTGAGACATTTATGCAACAGAATATGATCCAACTACTAAATTTGCTGCTTGTGAAGGAGCATCAGTTGCCTGCAGGGGGCGGAACTGAGTGGGCTCCCAGGCAGGAAAAAAAAGGGGGCAACCTTCCCCAGAACGCACCTTTGCACCTGTCAGATTTTGAACCATTTGAATCCCAGACAGGAGATCCCAGACAGGTCAATAAAAGTTGATTCTTTTTAAAGACAGAGTTTTACTGTGTCATCCAGGCTGGATTGCAACGGCATGGTCTCAGCTCACCACAACCTGGGCCTCGCAAGTTCAAGCAATTCTCCCACCTCAACCTCCCAAGTATCTGGGACTACAGGTGTAAGCCACCCGACCCAGCCTAGTTTTTGTACTTTTAGTAGAGACAGGGTTTCACCATGTTGGCCGGCCGGTCTTCAACTCCTGACCTTGTGACCCACCGCCTCATCCTCCCAAAGTGCTGGCATTACAGACTTGAGTCATCATGCTCTGTCTTTTCTCAGCTCACTGCAACTGCCACCTCCCAGGTCCAAGGAATTCTCCTGCCTCAGCCTCCTGAGTAGTTGGGACTACAGCTGTGTGCCACCATGCCTATCCAATTTTTGTATTTTTAGAAGAGGGAGCGTTTCACCATGTTGGCCAGGCTGGTCTTGAACTCCTGACCTCCAATGATCCAACTGCCTTGGCCTCCCAAAGTGCTGGCTGGGTGTGAGTCACTGCGCCTGGCCAGAGACAATCTCCTGAATAGGAGAAAGTTCTTAAAAATTAGTTATCTGGGCCAGGCGCGGTGACACACGCCTGTAATCCTAGCACTTTGGAGGCCAAGGTGGGCAAATCACCGGAGTTCGGGAGTTTGAGACCAGCCTGACCAAGATGGAGAAACCCTGTCTCTACTAAAAATACAAAGTTAGACGGTGCGTGCTGGCACATGCCTGTAATCCCAGCTACTCAGGAGGTTGAGGCAGGAGAATTGCTTGAACCCAGGAGGTGGAGGTTGCGGTGAGCCGAGATCGCGCAGTTGCACTCCAGCCTGGGTAATGAGCGAAACTCGGTCTCAAAAAAAAAAGTAATTGCCGGGCGCGGTGGCTCAAGCCTGTAACCCCAGCACTTTGGGAGGCCGAGATGGGTGGATCACGAGGTCAAGAGATCGAGACCATCCTGGTCAACATGGTGAAACCCCGTCTCTACTAAAAATACAACAAATTAGCTGGGCATGGTGGCACGTGCCTGTAATCCCAGCTACTCGGGAGGCTGAGTCAGGAGAATTGCCTGAACCCAGGAGGCGGAGGTTGCGGTGAGCGGAGCTCGCGATTGCACTCCAGCCTGGGTAACAAGAGCGAACTCCGTCTCAAAAAAAAAAAAAAAAAAAAAAAAAGTAATAATACAAAATTAGGTGGGCATGGTGTCGCGTGCCTGTAGTCCCAGCTACTCCAGAGGCTGAGGCAAGAGAATTGCTTGAACCCAGGAGGCGGAGGTTGCAGTGAGCCGAGATCGCGCCATTGCACGCCAGCCTGGGTAACAAGAGCAAAACTCTGTCTTAAAACAACAACAACAACAACAACAACAAAATTAGCTGGCCATGTTGGCGCACGCCTGTAGTCCCAGCTACTTGGGAGGCCGAGGCAAGAGAATTGCTTGAACTTAGGAGGCAGGGGTTGCGGTGAGCCGAGATCGCGCCATTGTACTCCAGTCTAGGTAACAAGAGCGAAACTCCGTCTCAAAAAAAAAAAAAAAAAAAGTACAAAAATTAGCTTGTCATGCTATGGCGCACCTGTAGTCCCAGCTACTCGGAAGGCTGAGGCAAGAGAATTGCTTGAACCCAGGAGGTGGAGGTTGTGGTGAGCTGAGATCGCGCCATTGTACTCCAGCCTGGGTAACAAGAGCGAAACTCTGTCTCAAAAAAAAAAAAATAATAAAGTACAAAAATTAGCTTGTCATGCTATGGCGCACCTGTAGTCCCAGCTACTCGGAAGGCTGAGGCAAGAGAATTGCTTGAACCCAGGAGGTGGAGGTTGTGGTGAGCTGAGATCACGCCATTGCACTCCAGCCTGGGTAACAAGAGCGAAACTCTGTCTCAAAAATACAAAAATTATCTGGGCATGGTGGCACAAGCTTGTAGTCCCAGCTACTCAGGAGGCTGAGGCAGGAGAATTGCCTGAACCCAGGAGGCAGAGGTTGCGGTGAGCCGAGATTGCACCACTGCACTCCAGCCTGGGTGAGAGAGTGAGACTCTGTCTCATACACACACAAAAGATGTGATGTTAATAACATGGGCTCTGTACCCTGAGGCACTTGAGTCTCGGTCCTGGTTTCGTAGTAACTGGCTCTGTGGCCTTGAACCAGGTAAGCTCTCTCTGCCTTACTCATTTCTAAATTGGTGATTTAAGAAAAATCCCTCCATCATAGTTGTGTGAAGATTAAATGACATGATGCATTTTAAATTGCATATAATACACATTACATATTGTAGGTGTTTAGAATTTTTATTGTTAGCTCATAAGGTTGACATAATACAAATTAGTAATGTTATTAGTAATTATAAGAATTATAATTAATTATTACAGCCTAAAAATTAATAGAGGGGCCACCTTGCCCAGCCCCTCTATTAATTTTTAGGCTGCAATAATTATAATTCCAACACTTTGGGAAACAGAGGTAGGAGGATCACTTGAGTCCAGGAGTTCAAGACCAGCCTGGGCAACATAGTGCAGCCTTATCTCTCCAAAAAGTGTTTTAAATTAACCTGGCATTGTGGCACATGCCTGTAGTTCTTGGCAGGCTGAGGTGCAAGGATGGCTTGAGACTGGGAGGTCAAGGTTACAGGGAGCTGTAATTGCACCACTGCACTCCAGCCTGGGTGACAAAGTAAGACCCTGTCTCAACAAAAAGTTAAATAAATAAAATTGAGAAATGGTCGGGTGCAGTGGCTCATGCCTGTAATCTCAGCACTTTGGGAGGCCGAGGTGGGAAGATTACTTGAGCCTAGGAGTTCAAGACCAGCTTGGGTAACATAGCAAAATCCCGTCTCTACTACAAAAAGTACAAAAATTAGCTGGGCTTCATGTGCATGCCTCTGGTCCCAACTACACAGGAGGCTGAGGTAGGAAGATCACCTGAGCCCCAGAGTTCAAGGCTGCCATGAGCTATGATCATGGCACTGCACTCCTGCATGACAGAGTGAGACTCTGTCTCAAAAAAAAACATTAAATTTAAAATTTGGAAATCTGAATTAAAGAAAAACTCCTGAAATGGAAGTTCTTACCTCTGGCTTTTAAAAATTCTATGCAGTTTCAATGGAGGGAGTGTCTTATAAGATCCTGCAGTATGTGTCAATCAACTATTTTAGAAACTCTGTGTGTGTGTGTGTGTGTGTGTGTGTGTGTAAAATACAAAAGGGGCCAGGCATGGTGGCTCAAGCCTGTAATCCCAGCACTTTGGGAGGCCAATGGTGGGCAGATCACGAGGTCAAGAGTTTGAGACCCTCCTGGTCAACATGGTGAAACCCTATCTCTATTAAAAATACAAATATTAGTTGGGCATAGTGACATATGCCTGTAATTAGCTACTACTGAGGCTGAGGCAGAGAATTGTTTGAACCCAGGGCAGAGGTTGCAGTGAGCAGAGATCATGCCACTGCACTCCAGCCTGGTGACATAGCAAGACTCCATCTCAAAAAAAAAAAAAAAAAATCAGCTGGGCATGGTGGCAGGTGACTGTAATCCCAGCTACTCAGGAGGCTGAGGCAGGAGACTCACTTGAGCCCAGGAGGCAGAGGTTGCAGTGAGCTGAGATCATGCCACTGTATTGCAGTCTGGGCAACAAACTGAGACTCTGTCTCAAAAATAAAAAATTAAATAAAATATAAAAGGCAGTGGAAGAGATTGTGACAAAGAAGTACCTGTCCTAATATTACATTATATTGTCAATTCTGCAAGACTTTTGTCTGTTGTGTTCACCTCTGGCTTTCCAGTGCCTAAGATAGTGTGTCCTGCCCATTGCAGGTATGAGAAAGAAATTATTAAATTAATAAATTCCCTGTCTAAAGACATTTAAATTCAAACACTTAAAAAGCATTCTGAGGCTGGGCATGGTGACTTATTCCTGTAATCCCAGCACTTTGGAAGGCTGAGGTAGGAGGATTGCTTGAGTTCAGGAGTTTGAGACCAGCCTGGGCAGCATAGCAAGACCTCATCTCTACTACAAAAAAAAAATTTAGTTAGGTGTGGTGATATTGACTGCTCAGAGGGCTGAGGTGGAAGGCCTTCTGAGCCCAGGAGATTGAGGGTGCAGTGAGCTGTAATCGCACCTGCCCTCCAACCTGGGTGACAGAATGAGATCCAGTCTAAAAAAAAATATGCATTCTGTGGACCAAACATTGGAGTCCCCTGAGTGAAATGGATAAATGCCCCCTACCTGATTATTCTCCTGGTTACCTACCTGTTCTCTGCTACCCACTTCCCAATTTCCTTTTTTCTCTTCCTAGTACTATTTACTGGACAGAATGGGGTAACACCCCCCGTATTGAGGCCTCCAGCATGGATGGCTCTGGACGCCGCATCATCGCTGATACCCATCTCTTCTGGCCCAATGGCCTCACTATCGACTATGCTGGGCGCCGTATGTACTGGGTGGATGCTAAGCACCACGTCATCAAGAAGGCCAATCTGGATAGGAGTCACCATAAGGCTGTCATTAGCCAGGGTAAGGCCCTTCCTTCACTCTTCTTCATCTGTTGTCCTCCTACCCCCATCCCTGCCCCTAGGAGCCTTGGCAGAGGCTGTATGTAGTTGCCAGTCCTCGGCCCAGGGGCCATGGCAGAGCATACCCAGACTGAGGGCTTCCTGGACTTTCCCCAGGTCTCCCTCATCCCTTCGCCATCACGGTGTTTGAAGACAGCCTGTACTGGACAGACTGGCACACCAAGAGCACCAATAACGCCAACAAGTTTACAGGGAAGAACCAGGAAAGCATTTGCAACAAACTCCACTTCCCTATGGACATCCACACCTTGCACCCCCAGCGCCAACCTGCAGGTAAAAACCTGCCCACCGGGTGAGCCAGAGTAGCCTCATGGTTGAGGTGGCCTCTGTTGCCTCTGAGAACCTTCCTTGCCCTTAAGAGTTGCCATTTCTTCCCGTGGGGAAATCCAGCAGGAATGGGCTCATTCCTCCCTCTGCTGGACATTCAGGGCAGTACAACAAGATTCACGAAAAGACGCATTAGGCTTTGCCGTTCCCAGCTAATCCCTGCAGACATTTACAGGGCATCGCCTATGTGCTAGCACATCACTGTGCTAGCAGAAGGGGAAGATCAAAAATAATAAGACACAGTTTCTCCCTTCAGGGAACTCACGCCTTACTAAAACCCCTATTCCCTAGTCTTGGGGTCACTTTTGAAATCCTTTGCTGATCTTCTTGCTCTGGGCTCTTTGAGCAGGGAAAAAACGCTGTGGGGACAACAACGGAGGCTGCACGCACCTGTGTCTGCCCAGTGCCAGAACTACACCTGTGCCTGCCCCACTGGCTTTCGCAAGATCAGCAGCCACACCTGTGCCCAGAGTAAGTGGGTCTGTGACACCAGCCTCCAGGGAGGCAGTTGTGAAGATAGGGAGGAGGAACAAGGGGTAGGAGATGGAGGGATTGTCTGTCGTGGGACGAACCACATTCCTCAGGGAGCCCTGGAGAGGAAAAACTTAAGAGGCTGAGGAATCCTCTATCAAAGCTGAGGACTGAGGACCCAGCAGTAGTTGGGGAAGGCTCAATGACACCACCCGGTGGAGTGTGAACACTTACGATCAGGCTCATGTATCATTTGCCAGGCAGGATGCCTTCTCTATGGGCAGCATGAGGGCTTTATGCTCTTGTGGAAAACCAGGGATGATTACCTGCCTTTTTACCTTTAGCCTCACCCTGTTGAAGAATTTCTTTTGGCCCTTAAACCAGAAAGTCAAAGTTAGAATCTCTGGTGATGTTCTGTGAAAGTAGGTAGGTCCTGGATAAATATGTGTCAAGCAAGCGAAAGATTCCTGGTCTCTCCCTCAACTGCTACTTTGGCTTCCTCTGGGCTCCTGCAGGGTTGTTACTTTGGGAGGGTAACCCTGGAGAGCGAAGCATGCGATGACTTTTTCTAAGAGTAGTCCAGAGAGGAGTGTTCTGGGCCTAAGGCATGACCAGCAGGGGGCCCGGGGTGATTCCTCACACATCAGCAGCTGTTCTTTACTGCTGCCCACCCAGCTGACCCTCCAAAACCTGGATAAAATAAAATTCTTCTGGGACCTGGGTCCTTTCTTTTATTTTTTTTTGAAACTGAGTTTCGCTCTTGTTACCCAGGCTGGAGTGCAATGGCACGATCTCGGCTCACCACAACCTCCGCCTCCTGGGTTCAGTCAATTCTCCTGCCTCAGCCTCCTGAGTAGCTGGGACTACAGGTGCGCACCACCATGCCCAGCTAATTTTTGTATTTTTAGTAGAGACAGAGTTTCACCATGTTGACCAGGATGGTCTCGATCTCTTGACCTCGTGATCCACCCGTCTCGGCCTCCCAAAGTGCTGGGATTATAGGCGTGAGCCACCGTGCTCAGCTGGACCTGGGTCCTTTCTAGATAGTGCAACTAGTGAAAACATTCAGAAGTTTCATTCATATGCACATTAACCAAGAACTTAGTTTCATGTTCTGAGTTTTCCCCTTCCTTTTTTTTTAAGACATAGTATCACTCTGTCACCCAGGCTGGAGTGCAGTAGTGTGATTTTGGCTCACTGCAATCTCCACTTCCCGGGTTCAAGTGACTCTCCTGCCTCAGCCTCCCAAGTAGCTGGAATTACAAGTATGTACTGGCGTACTCAGCTAACTTTTGTATTTTTAGTAGAGATGGGGTTTCGCCATGTTGCTCAGGCTGGTCTTGAACTTCTGACCTCAAGTGATCCACCTGCCTCGGCCATCCAAAGTGCTGGGATTACAGGTGTGAGCCACCACACCTGGCATTTATTTTTATTTTTTAGACGGTCTTCCTCTGTCACCCAGGCTGGAGTGCAGTGGCATGATCTTGGCTCACTGAAACCCCCACCTCCCCAATTACAGTGATTCTCCTGCCTCAGCCTCCCATGTAGCTGGGATTACAGGCACCTGCCACCATGCCTGGCTAATTTTTGTATTTTTAGTGGAGAAAGTGTTTCAGTATGTTGGCCAGGCTGGTCTTGAACTTCTGACCTCGTGATCTGCCTGCCTCAGCCTCCCAAAGTGCTGGGATTACAGGCGTGAGCTACCATGCCCAGAGAATTTTGTATTTTTAGCAGAGATGTGGTTCCACTATGTTGCTCAGGTTGGTCTCGAACTTCTGAGACCAAGCAATCCCCCACCTCAGCCCCTCAAAGTGCTGGGATTATAGGTGTGAGCCACCATGCCCGGCCCTTTCCCCTTGCAGTCCTTTGTACCCAGTGCTTCCCCTGTTGTCTTAGTGAGATGGAAGAAGTAAAGCCCCCTGTCCCCTGCCAGCTTCCCCTTAAGGACTTCCCAGAGCTAGGAAGTAGACATTTGGCAACATTAGGCAGGCAGTGGCTTTCTGGGTAGAAAAGTCTGCTGAGAAAGTATTCAGACAGACCAGAGGAAGGGCAAAGGATGGAAAAGAGCTGGCTGGAAGTAAGCGGCAGAGCTCTTTCTCTAGAGTCAGACCTGAATCCCAGCTCTGGTGCTTTGTAGCCATGGGATCCTGGGCAAGTTTCTTGATCTCTGTTAGCCTCAGGGTTGCTTATCTAGAACATGGGAATAAGAATAGCACACCACAGGCCGGTGGCTCACGCCTGTAATCCCAGCACTTTGGGAGGCTGAGGCAGGTGGATCACAAGGTCAGGAGTTTCAGACCAGCCTGACCAACATGGTGAAACCCCATCTCTACTAACGATACAAAAATTAGCTGGGTGTGGTGGCATGCTCCTATAATCCCAGCTACTCAGGAGGCTGAGGCAGAAGAATCATGTGAACCCAGGAGGCAGAGGTTGCAGTGAGCTGAGATCATGCCACTGGGTTACAGAGCCAGACTAGTACACACCGCAGAGGCTTGGTATGAGACAAAAAAAAAAAAAGTACCAAGCTTAGTAGCTGGCAAGGAAAGTGCTCTGTGAATGGTTATTATTGGTTTAAATTTGTGAAGAGGAGAGTGAGAGGAAGGGATCCAGGTGACAGAGGGGAGGGGCAGGAGCCCTGAAACAGTCATGAACATTAGAGAAATAGGGGTCAGGGGTTGGCAGTGGGCAAGCCAGGGCATCAGAAGAGATGGAGAAAAGCAAGAAGAGAGAAGAGTTGAGATGATGCTGACAGATGCTTAAGCAGCATGCGCTTCTGGGTCCTTTGGAGAATCTCTTTCCGTTTGATGTAGAACTCTGATTCTGCCAGCATGGCAGTGCTTAAAGGGGGCCTGAGTTATAAAGACTGGGGGCAAAGGGCACCAGATCCCAGGAAGTGTGATTGAACCAGATGTCACACAGGTGAGCGTCTGTGTCTGTCACTGTTCTTGGATGTAGAACATTAAAAGATCCCTTTCGGCCTTTGATCAGGTCTTGACAAGTTCCTGCTTTTTGCCCAAAGGATGGACATGCGTCGAATCAGCTTTGACACAGAGGACCTGTCTGATGATGTCATCCCACTAGCTGACGTGTGCAGTGCTATGGCCCTTGACTGGGACTCCCGGGATAATCACGTGTACTGGACAGATGTCAGCACTGATACCAACAACAGGGCCAAGTGGGATGGAACAGGACAGGAGGTTGGGCCCAGCATGGGGCCAGGCCCTCAGGGAGGGCAGAGATTGGGGGGTGGAATCCGCCCTCTCCAGGGTAAGGGCTTCCCATACCTTTGCCAACCCTGAGAATTGGTGGAGTTTGGGCTCTGGAACTAGAGTGGAAGTACAGTTGGTGATACAGCTTTGCTTCCTGCCCAGGTGGTAGTGGATACCAGTTTGGAGAGCCCTGCAGGCTTGGCCATTGATTGGGTCACCAACAAACTGTAGTGGATAGCTGCAGGTATGTATGGGGGGCCGTGGCCTGCCTGGCTCCCTGGGATTCCTCTTGTTTAAAACCCTGGCCTCAGATAGAAGGGGCCCAGTGTCCCTCCTGGACCACCTCTGTCTTCACATGAAGTCCTTGGTAGGTCAGAAGCAGAAGGGCTGCTGCAGAGCTGAAGTGAGAAGCTCACACGTGAGACGCTCACATTGTGGCAGCAACTTCTGCTATGTAGCTGATGCCGGGGAATGTTTTAAGGCGTTTCAGATCGTAAACCTATGCCCTGTGGTTTTCTTTCCATCAGTTTCTGGGTAAATCAGGCTTTCTTTCTTTCTTTTTTGAGACAGAGTTTCCCTCTTTCACCCAGGCTGGAATGCAGTGGCGCAGTCTCGGCTCACTGCAACTGCTGCCTTCCAATTTCAAGCAATTCTCCTGCCTCAGCCTCCCAAGTAGCTGGGATTATAGGCGAATACAACCACACTCAGCTAAATTTTGTATTTTTAGTAGAGACGGGATTTCACCAAGTTGGTCAGGCTTGTTTCAAACTCCTGACCTCGTGATCCACCCACCTCAACCCCCCAAAGTGCTGGGATTATATGTGAGCCCCTGCACCTAGCAATCAGGCATTTTTAATCAGCCAGGTGGGTTTGGGAGGCAAGGGGATATACCCTGAACAAATGCCACTTAGAGTGTGGTCCCTGGACCACATCAGCTGATGACAATCTTGTCTCCTCTGTGTGGAAGCATCAGCATCATCTGGGAAGTTATTGGACATGCAGATTCTTGGGCCCCACCCTAGACTTACTGAATCAGGGCTGGGCATGGTGGTTCACACCTATAATCCCAGCACTTTGGGAGACCAAGGCAAGATTGCTTGAGCTCAGGAGTTTAAGACCAGCCTGGTCAAAGTACAAAGACTCCCTCCCTTCAGCATGAAATGGACTAGAATATTTTTATTTAACAACAAGAACAAAAAAGAATCTTTGGGCATTAGGTTCAGGAATCTGTGTTTTAACAAGTTCTCCTTATTCTTACACACACTAAAGCTGAGAATCATCGCCTTAAATTATGGTTGCCTATGTTTGGGAAATCTTGCTCTTTCCAGCAGTGGAACTGATCACATCCTTGAATTTCTTCTTATGGTTCAAGTCATTAAATATCCATTGTGCATCTGTCACAAATACCTTCTGAGGCTGGGTGTAGTGGCTCACACCTGTAATCCCAGCACTTTGGGAGGCCTAGATGGGAGGATCACCAGGAGTTCAAGACCAGCCTGATTAACATAGTGAAACCCTGTCTCTACTGAAAATACAAAAATTAGCCAGGCATGTTGGCAGGCACCTGTAGTCCCAGCTACTTGGGAAACTGAGGCAGGAGGATTGCTTGAACTGGGGAGGTGGAGGTTGCAGTGAGCTGAGGTCGTATCACTACACTCCAGCCTTGGCAACAAGTGTAAATCTCTGCATTATTAAAAAAAATTATATATATATAAAATCATATGAGCACGTATTCTGGGCTCTACTGGCACATACCAGGCTCTTACGTTGGCCATGGAAGGTAAGAGGGTGAATGAACAAGACTAGAATAAATCTCTGTATCCCTTCTTGGTAGGTACAGACCGGATTGAAGTGCCCAACACAGATGGCAGCATGAGGACAGTACTCATCTGGGAGAAACTTGATAGTCTTTGGGACATTGTGGTGGAACACATGGGAGGGTGAGCACTGCCCCTTGGAAATGAGCTCAACCCACCTCTCCCAAGATCTGAGTTCCAGAGAGGAGTCTAAAGATTAGGAAGAGTGACCAGATCTTATGGCTATGCCCAAGGAAGTAAGAGCAGATGTAGAGACTACAGAGTCTGGTGACAACCTTGTATCCTCTATGGACAAAGAAACTTTTCAATTTTTTCTTTCCTTATCTTTTTTTATTGTTGGTTTACTTACAAAAGTAACTCATTGTTAAAAAAAATTTTAAATCTGGCCAGGCACGGTGGCTCATGCCTATAATCCTAGCACTTTGGGAGACCGAGGCAGGCAGATCACCTGAAGTCAGGAGTTCGAGACTAGCCTGACCAACAAGGAAAAACCCCATCCATACTAAAAATACAAAATTAGCCAGGCATGGTGGTACACGCCTGTAATCCCAGCTACTTGGGAGGCTGAGGCAGGAGAATTGCTTGATCCCAGGAGGCAGAGTTCGTGATGAGCTGGGATTGTGCCATTGTACTCCAGCCTGGGCAACAAGAGTAAAACTACATCTCAAAAAAAAAAAAAAAAAGGAAAAAATTAAAGCTGTAGAAAGTAAAAATTCTCTGTGATCTCACTCTCCAGCAATAAGTTAACAGTTTAGGGTATTTTTTTCTATGTTTTCTTCTAAATGCGTATAAACATTTGTTGTGATGGTGATGGCTGTGGTTTTATAAACATAGCATACTTTCTGTGACTTTTTTTCTGTTTGCCATATATCTTGTGTATCCTTCCAGTTGAGTATATAAATCTACCTTGTTTTTTTTTTTTTGTTGTTGTTTGTTTGTTTTTTTTTGACACAGGGTCTTGCTCCGTGGCCCAGACTGGAGTGCAGTGGTGCAATTGCAGCTCACCGCAGCGTCAACCTCCTGGGCTCAAGCAGTCCTCCTGCTAGCTGCGACTGCAGGCATAGACCATAATGCTTAGCTAATTTTTACAATTTTTTTGTAGAGATGGGGTGTTGCTGTGTTAACTAGGCTGGTCTCAAACTTCTGGGATAAAGCAGTCTTCCTGCCTCAGCCTCCCAAAGTGCTGGGATTTCAGGTGTAAGCCGCTGCACCTGGCCTCCATTGTTCTTACTGGTCACATAGAGTTCTGTTAACTTATTTAACTCATCCAGTCAAGGAAACATTTCTTTTTTTGTTTTTTCCTTTTTTTTTTTTTTTTTTGAGACAGAGTCTCACTCTGTTGCCCAGGCTGGATTGCAGTGGCCCAATCAAGGCTCACTACAGCCTTGACCTCCTGGATTCAAATGATCCTCCTATCTCAGCCTCTCAAGTAGCTGGGACTACAGATGTGCACCATCATATCTGGCTATTTTTTGGGGGGGGGGCAGGGGTAGAGATGGGATCCTACTATGTTGCCTGGCTGGTCTCAACCTTCTGGACTCAAATGATACTCTTAACTCAGCCTCCCAAAGTGCTAATATTATAGGCATGAACCATGGCGGCTGGCCAAGGAAACATTTATTCATTTTCACCCCTCCTCTTTCTCTATTCCCATGTACACCTTATTTGCTGAGTTCTGCTTAAGCTGTGGGCTCTGCTTTTATTAAGGCACTGTACCTTTTGATAGTGATAAAAGACAAGGTGTTCAGAGATTGTGCTGAGCCCAAGGCTGGGATGGACACTGAAGCGGGAGGCCGAGGCAGCTACTTCAGGCAGAAACCCTGAGATCCTAGTACTCCGAGTCCCTGCTGGATATTAACTGGCTTGTAAGACCGCTCTTGCCTTTGCCCAGGTACATGTATTGGACTGACTGGGGTGCAAGCCCCAAGATTGAACGAGCTGGCATGGATGCCTCGGGCTGCCAAGTCATTATCTCTTCTAATCTAACCTGGCCTAACGGGTTAGCTATTGATTACGGGTCCCAGCGGCTATACTGGGCTGATGCTGGCATGAAGACAATTGAATTTGCTGGACTGGATGGCAGCAAGAGGAAGGTAAGGGTGGCACTAAAACATTTTTCCACAGCCTTGACAGCCTCTAGGACAGTACTTTTTGGCTGGCAGCTGATGGGAGATAAGAGGACCCAGAGGTTATGAGACCAGCACGGGGCATGTGGTGTTTCTGTGAGGCTGTGGGTGCTCTCCAGAGCTTGGGGGCGGGGGTGGGAAGGGGCTGCTGGTTGATGGGGAAAGGAAACTAGGAACTTGCATAGATGATGGGCTGGAGGTAGAAATGGACAGACTTTCTTGTTAACCAGCGCAGCTAACCCTTGTTAATTACCAATTGCACCATGATGGGCCTGTGATTGATAGCTGTTTGTTTTTATTTTGGCATAGTTTCAAACTTACAGAAAGGTTGCAAGAACAGTAAAAAGAATAGATAAATAAAATTTTGCTGCATTTGCATTATCATTCTATTTCTGTACACACTCACTTTTATTTTCTGGAGCCATCTGAGATTAGATTGGAGACAGCCTGCCTTTGACTCCAAACTATTCCTGTGCACATTTCCTAAAAGCAAGGGTGTTGTCTTATGTCACTACAATACAGTGATCAAAATCAGGAAATTTACTATTGATCCAATATTGCTGTCTTTTTTGTTTGTTTGGTTTGGTTTTTTTTAGAAATAGTCATGCTCTGTTGCCCAGGCTGGAGTGCAGTGGTGCAATATTGGCTCACTGCGCCTAGCTAGTTTTTCTTTCTCTTTTATTTTTGGTAGAGACTTCCTATATTAGCCAGGCTAGTCTCAAATTCCTGGCCTCAAATGATCCTTCTGCCTCAGCCTCTCAAAGTGTTGAGATTACAGGTGCGAGCCACCATGCCTGCCCCAATATTACTGTCTAATCATAGTCTATGTTCAATTTCCCTACCAATTGCCTCAATAATGTCCTGTATAGCTCCCCCCTTACTTTTTAAATCTAGCGTCCAATCACGATAACCCATTGTGTTGAGTAATGATCTCTTTTAATTTTTATTTATTTATTTTTTAGACACTCTATGGCCCAGGTGGGAGTGCAGTGGCACAAACATGGCCCACTGTAACCTCGACCTCCTGGGCCCAAGGCATCCTTCCACATAGCTAAGATCACAGACATACACTACTATTGAGAACCCTAGCTACTCAGGAGCCTACGAGTTTGAAGCCACTAGGCTAATTTTTTTATTCTTTGTAGAGATGGGGTCTCACTGTGTTGTCTAGGCTGGTCTTGAACTCATAGGTTCAGCAGTCCTCCTGCCTCGACCTCCCAAAGTGATTATAGGCATGAGCCACCACACCTAGCCACCTAGCTTTTTCTTTTTTTTTGAGACTGCAGTCTTGCTGTGTTGCTCATGCTGACCTGGGCTCAGGTGATCTTCCCATCTTAGCCTCCTGAGTAACTGGAACTATGTACCACTGGGCCCAGCTAATCTAGTCTCTTTATTTTTATTTTACTTTTTTTTGTAATTTAATTTTTACCAGCTTTATTGAGATGTTATCACATGCCATACAATCACCCATTTAAAGTGTGCAATTCATACGCTTTTAGCATAGGCACAGAGTTGGCATTCATCACACAATTTTAGAACGTTTTCATTACCCCAGAAAGAAACCTTAAAGTCCTTAGATACACACCTAGCCCCTTCATCTATCCCAGCCCAAGGTGATTATCTAATCTACTTTCCGTCTCTATACCTTTGGCTATTCTGGACATTTCTTATAAATAGAATCATACAACATGTGGTCCATTTTGACCAACTTTATTTATTTTTCACTCAGTATAATGTTTTCAAAGTTCACCTAAGTTGTACCATGTGTCAGTACTTCATTTCCCTTTTTTTTTTTAAATTTTTTATTGGATTTTAGGTTTTGGGGTACATGAGCAGAGCATGCAAGACAGTTGCGTAGGTACACACATGGCAGTGTGCTTTGCTTTTCTTCTCCCCTTCACCCATATTTGGCATTTCTCCCCAGGCTATCCCTCCCCACCTCCCCCTCCCACTGGCCCTCCCCTTTTCCCCCCAATAGACCCCAGTGTTTAGTACTCCCCTTTCTGTGTCCATGTGTTCTCATTTTTCATCACCCACCTATGAGTGAGAATATGCGGTGTTTCATTTTCTGTTCTTGTGTCAGTTTGCTGAGGATGATGTTCTCCAGATTCATCCATGTCCCTACAAACGACACAAACTCATCATTTATGATTGCTGCGTAATATTCCATGGTGTATATGTGCCACATTTTTCCAATCCAGTCTATTATCAATGGGCATTTGGGTTGATTCCAGGTCTTTGCTATTGTAAACAGTGCTGCAATGAACATTCGTGTACATGTGTCCTTATAGTAGAACGATTTATAGTCTTTTGGATATATACCCAGTAATGGGATTGCTGGGTCAAATGGAATTTCTATTTCTAAGGCCTTGAGGAATCGCCACACTGTCTTCCACAATGGTTGAACTAATTTACACTCCCACCAACAGTGTAAAAGTGTTCCTTTTTCTCCACATCTTCTCCAGCATCTGTTGTCTCCAGATTTTTTAATGATCGCCATTCTAACTGGCGTGAGATGGTATCTCAATGTGGTTTTGATTTGCATCTCTCTGATGACCAGTGACGATGAGCATTTTTTCATATGATTGTTGGCCTCATATATGTCTTCTTTCGTAAAGTATCTGTTCATGTCCTTTGCCCACTTTTGAATGGGCTTGTTTGTTTTCTTCCTGTAAATCTGTTTGAGTTCTTTGTAAATTCTGGATATCAGCCCTTTGTCAGATGGGTAGACTGCGAAAATTTTTTCCCATTCTGTTGGTTGCCGATCCATTCTAGTTACTGTTTCTTTTGCTGTGCAGAAGCTGTGGAGTTTCATTAGGTCCCATTTGTCTATTTTGGCTTTTGTTGCCAATGCTTTTGGTGTTTTGTTCATGAAGTCCTTGCCTACTCCTATGTCCTGGATGGTTTTGCCTAGATTTCCTTCTAGGGTTTTTATGGTGCCAGGTCTTATGTTTAAGTCTTTAATCCATCTGGAGTTAATTTTAGTGTAAGGTGTCAGGAAGGGGTCCAGTTTCTGCTTTCTGCACATGGCTAGCCAGTTTTCCCAACACCATTTGTTAAACATGGAATCCTTTCCCCATTGCTTGTTTTTGTCAGGTTTATCAAAGATTGTATAGTTGTATGTATGTTGTGTTGCCTCCGGTGCCTCTGTTTTGTTCCATTGGTCTATATCTCTGTTTTGGTACCAGTACCATGCTGTTTTGATTACTGTAGCCTTGTAGTATAGTTTGAAATCCGGTAGTGTGATGCCCCCCGCTGTGTTCTTTTTGCTTAGAATTGACTTGGCTATGCGGGCTCTCTTTTGGTTCCATATGAAGTTCATGGTGGTTTTTTCCAGTTCTGTGAAGAAAGTCAATGGTAGCTTGATGGGGATAGCGTTGATTCTGTAAATTACTTTGGGCAGTATAGCCATTTTCACGATATTAATTCTTCCTCACCATGAACATGGAATGTTTCTCCATCTGTTTGTGTCCTCTCTGATTTCGTTGAGCAGTGGTTTGTAGTTCTCCTTGAAGAGGTCTCTTACGTTCCTTGTGAGTTGTATTTCAAGGTATTTTATTCTTTTTGTAGCAATTGCGAATGGCAGTTCGCTCTTGATTTGGCTTTCTTTAAGTCTGTTATTGGTGTAGACGAATGCTTGTGATTTTTGCACATTGATTTTATATCCTGAGACTTTGCTGAAGTTGCTTATCAGTTTCAGGAGTTTTTGGGCTGAGGCGATGGGGTCTTCTAGGTATACTATCATTTCGTCTGCAAATAGAGACAATTTGGCTTCCACCTTTCCTATTTGAATACCCTTTATTTCTTTTTCTTGCCTGATTGCTCTGGCTAGAACTTCCAGTACTATATTGAATAGGAGTGGTGAGAGAGGGCATCCTTGTCTAGTGCCAGATTTTAAAGGGAATGCTTCCAGTTTTTGCCCATTCAGTATGATATTGGCTGTTGGTTTGTCATAAATAGCTTTTATTACTTTGAGATACGTTCCATCGATACCGAGTTTATTGAGTGTTTTTAGCATAAAGGGCTGTTGAATTTTGTCGAATGCCTTCTCTGCGTCAATTGAGATAATCATGTGGTTTTTGTTTTTGGTTCTGTTTATGTGGTGAATTACGTTGATAGACTTGCGTATGTTGAACCAGCCTTGCATCCCTGGGATGAATCCTACTTGATCACGATGAATAAGTTTTTTGATTTGCTGTTGCAATCGGCTTGCCAATATTTTATTGAAGATTTTTGCATCTATGTTCATCATGGATATTGGCCTGAAGTTTTCTTTTCTCGTTGGGTCTCTGCTGGGTTTTGGTATCAGGATGATGTTGGTCTCGTAAAATGATTTGGGAAGGATTCCCTCTTTTTGGATTGTTTGAAATAGTTTTAGAAGGAATGGTACCAGCTCCTCCTTGTGTGTCTGGTAGAATTCGGCTGTAAACCCGTCTGGACCTGGGCTTTTTTTGTGTGGTAGGCTCTTAATTGCTGCCTCAACTTCAGACCTTGTTATTGGTCTATTCATAGTTTCAGCTTCCTCCTGGTTTAGGCTTGGGAGGACACAGGAGTCCAGGAATTTATCCATTTCTTCCAGGTTTACTAGTTTATGCGCATAGAGTTGTTTGTAATATTCTCTGATGATGGTTTGAATTTCTGTGGAATCTGTGGTGATTTCCCCTTTATCATTTTTTATTGCATCTATTTGGTTGTTCTCTCTTTTCTTTTTAATCAATCTGGCTAGTGGTCTGTCTATTTTGTTGATCTTTTCAAAAAACCAGCTCTTGGATTTATTGATTTTTTGAAGGGTTTTTCGTGTCTCAATCTCCTTCAGCTCAGCTCTGATCTTAGTTATTTCTTATCTTCTGCTGGGTTTTGAGTTTTTTTGATCTTGCTCCTCTAGCTCTTTCAATTTTGACGATAGGGTGTCAATTTTGGATCTCTCCATTCTCTTCATATGGGCACTTATTGCTATATACTTTCCT